CTGGGCCTCGACCGTCTTTTCCTCAGTCTCTTTTCTCTGGGTCTTAAGAACCTTCTTTATGGCATCAGCAGCCTCTGCCTTCTCCTCGGCCACGTCTTTGGCTTTGACAGCAGCCTCGACTTGATCTGCCAGAGTCTTCATTTTTTATTGCAAGTTTTTGTTGGTCTTCTGCAGACTAGTGACCTCCCTAGTCTTGTCAGCCAGCACCTTCCTTGTCTCAAAAGATTGCATTGAGAAGGAGTGGGCGTGCTGGATTGCCTGAAAAAGATGAACAGAGCAGAAATTATTAGAAAATTTTCTAAGTATAAAAAAGAGAAAGAAAGAAAAAATTACCGAATAAAGAGACTTACTTGAATAGAGCGTTGGAGCATCAGAGCAAAGTTTTCATACTCGCTCATCTTGGTGTTTCGGTCGAGATCGCTGGAAAGAAGCAGAGTAGTACTATAAGCGACGCCAACATTAACATCGTCGGCACTATCCCCAGCTCTAACTGGCCTGTCCTCCAGTGTGATTTGGGGGGCCCAGGGGGAATCATGCTTTAGAGACCCCGAGGTGGTTGCAGAGGATGACCTCGGCCACTTAGATCTGGTAGACTCGGATGGTTGGGCCTCGGCAGGCCTCTTCTCGACGGCAGAATAGAACTTATCGCTCTCAGCCAATTTGGAGATTGGCAAGGTGTCCTCAGTATCAACCTGAGTCACCGTTGCCTTTGGCTGAGCCTTCTTTATCCTTTTTTGTTTTGGCTTTGGCTAGGTTGGTGCTGGTTGAGCATCAACTGAATCAGGATTATTAGCCAAAAGATCCTTAGCGACTGCTTTCTGGGGACCCATCTCAGCAGCAAAAGCAGTTCGGCGTCGTCGATGGCGTTGAGATGAAGGGATCAGATATAGAGCCGAGGTTGACGGCTGCTCTGCAGGATCAGAGGTCGATCCTTGATCTGGCTGAGATGTGGAGGCCGCTTGAGGAGTTGTGGTAGAATGAGGAGATTAACTCTTCTTCTTCTTCTTCTTTGGAACGTCGGGGAGTACTAATTTGTATGTTCGGATAAAGTTGAGTACCAAAGGGGCTCTCCACTTGTGGACTGGCAAATCTAATAGTTTCTTCAAGTCTTTGCTGGGGAAGAAAGATTGGCGGAAGCCCTTTGGTGGCTGAGGAAGAGCTGCAAGAAAAACAGACATTAGAAACAAGTGAAGTATTGAAGACTTTAAAGACGAAGTAAGTATGAACACAGGGCTCTTACCATTACCCTCTACAAAAACGGTTTGAGGAAGAGGGTAGAGGTGGAGGTCCTCATCTGGAGCGAACTCCCAGTTCCCCGAGGTAATGAAGTAATCATCCCCAGCTCCCTTGTTGGAGTCTGGGAGGTCGGCAACGATTTTTTACTCTGTAGACCTCAGTTTTAGGTAGTAAATATAGCCTGTGTTTTTTTTAGGCCACACATGGTGTAGCAGTATTGGATGTCGGCTAAAGTAACTCTAGCGTTTTCTTGTTTGGCTAAGGCAATAATACCATTTATGACTCGGTAGGAATTGATGGCAAGCTGCATTGGGTTCAACTTATAGTAATGGATTATCTCACGGAAAAGGATATTGAGTGGGAGCCGAAGTCCGCACTTGATAAAAGCTACAACAGGGAAGGGCATAGAATCAGTTGTGGGCATGATAGAGTCATCATTCCCAGCCAACCTCGGATGAATGTCGGCTGGGATGTCAAACTCTCACCTAAAGTGCTCTAACTTGGTCGGGGTGTCTACCCTATGCTTCCACGTATCTATGATATCGGCTTAACTAGAGGAGTTGGATTTTAGAAGGGAGTGTTTTGGAGGGTTTTAGGGACCTCGGTTAAAACCTAAAAATACACAGAATCTGTGGGGAATCGTTTCAGTTTTTCCTAAAAATTCGTGGGTTCTACAAACAAATCCCAAACCTAGATCTATGGAAACGAAGATTGAAGGCACAAATATGGAAAAGTAACAAAAAACAGAAAAGCAAGAATGTGTTTCAGAATTAAGAACAGTGGTGAACTATAAAGAAAACTATGACAAAATGTGCACAAGGGCATGAGGCCAAAGACAGTGGCAAAAGTGAGCAAATTTGTGAACAGTGTGTGCGTATTCAAGACACAAATTGGGCAGAAAAAAAATTGTAAGGTAAACGTGCTCGAATACATGATTCATAAATCAAATATTTGAGCAAAACAGCAATGGCAACAAATAATGAAGCAAAACTTCTTGAAGAGCAATAAGAAATTGAAATAAGAGGGAACTGTGACTTACCCAAGAAAAATGAAGCCGAAGTAAATTTTCGTCGTTATCAAGCGGTAGCCGGAAGCAAGGAAATATGGCAGAAACCTCGTCGGAGAAGAGAGTCAATCTGGTTGCAGAAAGCTTCGTGAAAGCAGCAATTGAGGATTTGGAAGAAAAAGCTAGAGAGAGAAAAAGCTTCAGAAATAACGATGTCAAGTGAAAAGATGAAGAGAAAGGACACAAGTTTTGTCAAAAACGCGAAAAGGCGGCAAAATGGAATTGATGAGCCTAGAACGACGAATTTGTCAGACGGCGCATGCAGGCGCGAGACGACTTACGGGCGCGTATCAGACCTAGTAAGGGGAAGACGCGTGGCAGAAACGGTTGATTTATTTTGCATAACAGCTCATATACGTGATAAAACTTTTGAAGTTCTTGGTTTAATGAAGCAATGACATCGGCTGATAAGAAATTCTGAAACCTTGATGAGACAAGATTGCAAGACCTAATTGTGTGAAGCCAATGTATTGTGACCTCGGAAAAAGGATAATACAGCGAGACAGCCAACATGCTATATGACATAACGATATAGGTTCCATCACCTCAGGATGCCGAGGTAATAGAACCTAGGGGACAGTTGTGGGGATATATTTTCTGAGTACTAACACGTGGCCAAGGTGACGCCGACGTGTCAGCCAAAGTGCCACGTGTCCTGGTCATGACGCCAAGGTGATTTCGGCTAAGCCAAGGTTATCTCCGAAGATATTGGAATCCGGGATAAGTGGATAAGGGACAATAGTCCTAGAATGAGGAAGGACTTCAGCCCGGATAAGGATAAAGCTCTTAGGGAGTTTATCTTTATCTATTGAAAAGTCCAGGATAAGCACTGAGCTAAAGTCCATTGAAGCAAGGCTTCTATTGGGACTATGATTGAGTTAACTATAAAAGAGAGACACTCCCATGAGTCTAAGGTATGCTTTTTATATTCTGAATAGTGAGTTAAACACTTTTGCTATCTTTGAGAGATAACTGACTTGATCGTCGGAGTGCCCTCGGGTGGACGAACCACCGCCGGAATCTCTTCTTTTTGTGACAGGTCGTTTGGGCTTAATCTATTTTGCCAGTGTTCTCCAGTTGAGTGCTTGATTGGCAGTGTGGTCGGAAATTGACACACAGAAACAATTTATGCTGATAAATAAACAAGTGAAACAATTCATGGACGACCGGTGGAACGTCGGACGATTGGTTAGCCCAAATTTTCTCACATTCAACCGAGTTTTCAAAAGTAAGTGTGGAATTAAATTTTGAAAGCTGTAAACAAACACCATGTGAGAACCAATGATTGGAACTAAAGTTCTAGTCATCTACCAAACAGAGCCATTGTTTCTTATATTATTTTCTTTTCATATAAAACAATTTTTGAAAACAAAAATCATAAGCTAAAAAAATTTGAAAAATTATCCTAAAAACAATTTTGTCAAACAACTCTTATCCTTTTGTCTCTGATCGGATATTTCCTTTATAAACTTGCATAACACTATGTTGAGGGAAGAGAGAGGTGAATATTGTGTCGTCTTGTGTTCAGGTTGTGTTATATTAAGTTCGTGTGTTGAAAACACAAACACGACTTGTTCTTATAAATATATTGACCTGGTAAATTTTTTATTTTATTTTTAATTAATGAAGAAGTGCAAAACCGATAACTATGAATACACGTGACACTAACCTTGCATCCATTTCACAAGTGTGATTCATAATTTTAAAAAAAATAAAAATAATAACATTGTTTCTTGTATTATTTTCTTTTTATATAAAACAATTTTTGAAAACAAAAATCATAAGCTAAAAAAATTTGAAAAATTATCCTAAAAACAGTTTTGTCAAACAACTCATATCCTTCTGTCTCTGATCGGATATATCCTCTATAAACTCGCATAACACTATGTTGAGGGGAGAGAGAAGTGAATATCGTGTCGTTTCGTGTTTAGGTCGTGTTGTATTAAGTTCGTGTGTTGAAAACACAAACACGACCTGTTTAATAAGAGTGTTACATTCGTAACTACTAACACAACTTGTTAATAATTGTATCAACTTGTACGTGACATGATTAACACGATTAATTTCTAAACTTTTATTTATCATGACATGACATGATTGATCCAACAAAAAATCCATTTGAGAAAGAGAAATAAACATAAAAAATCTTATTTTTTTTGTCAATTTATTTGTTTATTTATTTATTTATTTATTTATACTCATTTTTATTTATACCATACACTAATATATATAAAAAGTTACAAAAAAAAAATATGTTATTGTCGTATCGTGAGTCGTATTCATGTTAAAAGGTTATAAGTTAAAATAAACGAATTAGACATGACGTTTTCGAATTTCACAGATTCAATCTAAATACTACAGATTCAATCTAAAAACTATATATTTATTATACAAATTCACAAGTCATATCATAGATTTGTTTGTTTGTGTCGAAAAATTTTGGGCAAATTACATATACACCCCTTGAGGTTTGGCTAAATTACAGATGCTCCCTGAAGTTTGAGAAATTACGAATTCCCTTCTGAATGCTATATTTGCATAAGAAATTAGGGGGTAATTTGTTATGAAATATAAATCTCAGGGGACAAATTGTTATGAAAATACAAACCTCAGGGGGCGGGATGTAATTTCCGAAACCTCAGGAGTATCTGTAATTTAGCCAAACCTCGAGGGGTGTATATGTAATTTGCCCAAAAATTTTCAATCCTAATTTGCTAATTTAGGGTACGATTCGAGTTGGGTTAGGTGCCACCCCTAATTGAGAGAGAAGAAGAGTAAAGTCTAGGGCTTCGATGTTCGAACTCTAGGGTTTGTTTCCAGCCAAAGGCCTCTCTGATTCTATTCCAAATTCTTCCCCAAATCGGCGGTCGCTGGTCGATCTTTGTCGTGTACACCTCGTTCGATCAATTCATTTCCGGCGAAGTATGGTAGCAATTCACAATCCCTTCATTTTCCGATTCGATTGTTTTCTGATAGTCCGAAATTTGGTTTGTTGTTGAAATCTAGGGCTTTCCACTCGGTCGTGTAACTGAGGGATGTGAAAAAAGGTATTTGTTCATATATTATTGTGTATATACATATAGGTTGTGTTTCTTGTGAATATTGAAAGAGGCGATTTTGGGGTTTTTTCTGGCTGTGAATTTGTGATTATTTGGATTGAAATTTGAGGCTATTATGTATATAGAGGAATTGAAGGGAGGAGAAAAGTTGGGAAGTAGGGAAGAGGAGAAACTATATGATGCTGAGGTGGTGGGCGGCAGCATTGTGGTGGCAGACGTGAAACGGGTTTTGGTCGGAGCTGGAGCTCGCGCGCTGTTTTACCTGACGCTTCTGTACAATGTTGTGAGGAATAAGATTCAGGCGGAGTTTCGGTGGTGGGATTGGGTTGATGAGGTACAATTCTGTTTGCACGGCCTTGCCTTCAGTTTTTGTATAGTTTTCTATGTTTCTACGTCACGGTGTTTGCGAGGCCTTCCCGTTAATTAGGTGTGAACATTTGATTGTGATATAGGAGTAAATAAAGATTGCATTTAAATTAAGTGTGTGCACATTTAGAATGACAAAAATAAGACAAAGGTTTCAATACCATGAATTTATTTATCATTTTGTTGGGATTCTTGGTAAAAAAATTTCACATCATATGGTTTGTTACCATATATATAGCTCTGAGATGTACAGAAAAGGTGCTTTTGCTATGTAGAATAAGCGTGTTGGACGCTTGCATTTATTACTGTTAATACTTAATGCTACTTGTGGATGCTAATGACATATATAACATTATAAATGCATGAGTTAAATATGCTAGATTCAGGAAAGTTCACCTCTTTAGCTGCACCCCTTTGACTAGTAGGTTCCGTATTTAGCTCCTCTGTCCATGATGAGGCACGAAAATTGTATATATGTTCATGAATTGCCAAAATGAGAAGAAGATAGGACAATTGATCCATGTGCCAGATATGTTTTGGCAAATTGGCCACTTATGGATTTGAGTTTTTATTGTTGAGCGTGTGCTATCTTTTGTTGTTCTTGCTTTGTTCTCACTTTGTGAAGCATTTTATGTTATTTTATTTATACCTTTTTCGCCATGTGATTCATGTTCAATTGGAGTTTGGTATAATCAAGGTTTACTGATTTATTTAGGTAATCATGATTTCATCTAAGAACACCCCTGTGCCAGGAAATTTAAAAAAAAAAAAAAAACCACCATCATGTATTTTGACTGGTTTAGAAATTGTTCAGTGCTTATAATGAGATATGCTCTTTGCAATATGAACTGAAGTTAGTGCTGCTTCTACTCTGTCCATTTGTAGTTTTACTTATCAAAAATCTTGTCTCCATTTTCAGTGTGTACTATTAGGTGCTATCCCATTCCCTGCCGATGTTGAACGGCTGAAAGATCTTGGTGTTTGTGGAGTGATCACCTTAATTGAGCCATATGAGACTTTGGTTTCAACATCTCTATATCAAGTGAGTTTTTGTTTTTGTTTGTGTTTTTTGTTTTTTAACTTGTGCATTTTTTTGCAGCTTGGCATGCTTTGTTATCGGAAGTGCATCCATTTATTTTACTAAAAGTGCACTAATTAAAGGTTGCTTCTGAAGTGCATTCATTCCCACAGACTTATTTGAGAAAGTAATTCGTTTTGGCCTTTCACTCCATTTGAAATCTTGTTGGGTATTTCTGATTTGTTGGAATGTGAGCTTTACCAAATAAGTCTGAGGGAGATGATTTTTTTTTTTTTTTTCATTAGATTTCAAACATCAGATTAATGTTTCAAACATTAGATTTCAAACATCAGATTAATGTTTCAAACATTAGATTGATGTACAAATGGGACTAAATGGAGCATAAGAAAACTTTTAGGACTAAATGGTTCAACTTTTCAGAAACTAGGACTTATGGGTAAATTTTCCTCTTTTTTTTTTTGGATCAGTGGTTATTGAGATGCATAAACTATTTTACGTCATTTTTTTGTAACACCATGTTTATTGACATCCTTCAACCATATTTCACTATAGTGCAAGGTTATTCACCGAGCTCTTCCATTTATTTCTGATTATGGTTATTTGTTGCAGGCTCATGGTATTAATCATTTGGTGCTTCCAACAAGAGACTACCTCTTTGCTTCGTCACTGAGTGATATATGCCAAGCTGTGGACTTCATTCATGGTTAGTGTTTTCAACAAATTGCAATGTATGCTGTCTCAACTTTGGAGTAATGACAAAATTGTGCCAGCTATTTCCAACAAAGCTCTGAATCTTCCTGGAGGCATGCGTTATATTCATTTTCAAATAGCAACTTCGGTAATCTGATGCACATTAAATTTTTTCATCAACAGATTACAAAGATGGAAATCCCACTAGTTATGGATTAAGACGATTAAGAAAATCAATTTAAATACATTAATTTTCAATTGTAAATTTTTTATCCAAAAGCTTGATCAGTTGGTCCTCATCTTCCATCTGATTCACTTCTATCAGGATATAGGGTGATCAACAAATGCACCTAGTTAAGATTTATTGCTTTGTGTTATTTATCAAAAAAAAAATCCCACTAGTTATGGATTAAGACGATTAAGAAAATCAATTTAAATACATTAATTTTCAATTGTAAATTTTTTATCCAAAAGCTTGATCAATTGGTCCTCATCTTCTATCTGATTCACTTCTATCAGGATATAGGGTGATCAACAAATGCACCTAGTTAAGATTTATTGCTTTGTGTTATTTATCATAAAAAAAAAAAGAACATTTATTGCTTTGTGTGTATCATTGAATCACCCCAATATCTATGTGTTAAGTGTTAGGGGTAGTTTGATCTTTATGTATTATTCTTATTAGTATAAATAGTTGTAAAGGGGAAACCTTAAGCTTTAGAATCAAATAATATACACAGCAACTTCTCTCTTCCTCTTGTTTTGTTTCTTTTTCTTCTCATCATCTATACATTCAACATGGCATCAAAGCTTCATTTTCCTCCTTGAAGATTTCATTCCTGTTCTTGTATCTTGGTACGTCTGCACAAAAAAATAAAAAAAAAGTAAAAAAATTCTAGTATGCTCGAAATTTAATGGGTATCCACCCTATAATCTCCTTTTGATTTTTTGGTCATTATTGAGTCTTTTTTTTCAATTTTTTGATTTTTCGTCAAAATTAGGTGTTTTTTCACGTTAGATCAGATCTACAATTTGAACACTCAGTCGCGCCTAGGCGATCGCCTTGCGCCTCTCTCGCCTTGCTCCAGTCGCGGCTAAGGCGCTCGCCTGGCTCAAGCCGCCTCGCCTGGTACCTGTACAGGCGCAAATGGTGCGCCTCGACTCGCCTTGCGCCTAGGCGTGCGCCTAGGCGCGACTTTGACAACACTGGGTTTGCTGTCCCTGGTTTGATGTATTTTGGCCCTACCTTGGTTTTTTCTTGCTGTTTGGATGCTCTGCTTCAGTTTTCTAGCTTCTAATTGATCTGGTTGCTTTGTTTTGGGCTTATCGTGGACTGTTTCAGCCTTAGATGGTGATTTGCTGTGCTGGTTAGGTGTTTTTTGGATTTGTTTGATATCCTTGTGTTTCTGCACTCTTTTTTTCTCTCATCTCATGGTTGTTAGCTTGGGTCAGGACTCTAAGGGCAAGGAGGAGAGTGGACTGAGTCGTGGTATGACTCTTGGTGATAGTCCTCTCCAAATTAGTCCGGTCAAGCTTAATGGTACCAATTATTTGATTTGGTCCCGCTCCTGCAGTCTTGCCATTGTTCCCTAGCGGTTGACTAGCTATATTACTGGTAGTACTACTGAGGATAGTGCTTTATCTGCTCAATGGATTTCTGAGAATGCTTTAGTTATGACCTGGCTCATCAATTCTATGGAACCAAAGTCAAACTTTTTTCTTGATGGATACTGCTCACAAGATCTAGATAGCTGCATCTTAGATGTATTCTCAACAGGGGAATGATGCACAGGCCTATGAATTGCGAAAAAAGATTAGGGGTTTGGATAAGAAGGATCGCTCTCTGGCAGTCTACTATGCTGAGTTGAGTGGTTTATGGCAGGAGCTTGATTACTACCAGAGTTTCCAGCCAGTTTGCTCCACGGATGTCGCTATGTTTCAGCAGGCTGTGGAGAAGGAACGGGTGTATGATTTTCTTGTTGGCTTGAATTTGGAGTATGATCAGATACAGGTTCAGGTGTTGGGTCTCTCTTCGTTTTCTACATTATGTAAGGCTTATGCACTGGTTCAACAGGAGGAGAGTCGTCGTAGTGCTATGGTGCATGCCCCCCCTGTTCAGGATCGGTTCGGTCAGCGATGGTTGTCGGCCCTAAGTTACATGATACTCTGCCTTGTTAGCCTCACGGTGGTGGTAAGGGTCCATTGGTTGATCGGGACCGATTGAAGTGTGATTATTGTGGAAAAGATAGACATGATAAAGAATACTATTGGAAGTTGCATGGCCGACCTACTCGAGGCCATGGTCGTGGTCGTGGTGTTGGTCCTCAAGCACATGTTTCTGCGACTACTGTTAGTGCCTCGGATGATGCTGGTTCTTTTTCCCAAGATGAGCTTCACACTCTCAGATGTTTGATGGCTCGACTTGATTCTTCATCTGCCTTAGCTCCTTTCTCTTCTGCTTCTTCCAACTTTGCCCACACAAGTATTTCTGCTAGTGCACTTAGTACCTCTTCGTCGTCTCCTTGGATCATTGATTCCAGTGCTACCGATCACATGATGGGTACTTCTAGCTTTTTCCATTCGTATTCACCTAGTTCTGGGTGAGATAAGGTTAGAGTGGCTAATGGCACTTTATCTTCTATCTCCGGCAAGGGTTTTGTTCATTGCTCCTCTTTACTTTCGCTTTCATTTGTTCTTCATATTCCTAATTTTTCAACTAACTTACTTTTTGTTAGTAGCCTTACTTCTGCTCTCAATTGCTCTGTAACTTTTTTTCTGACTTATTGTGTCTTTCAGGAACTGGCTACGGGGAAAATGATTGACAGTGGTAGAGCCCAAAGTGGCCTGTACTTTCTAGATGCCATTCCTGCATCAACTTTATCCTCTCAGGCTCTTCAATGCACTTCTGACTCTTCTCTTTGTCTTCTTCATCAGTGGCATCGTTGTTTGGGGCATCCTTTCTTTAGCATTTTAGAGAAATTTTTTCCTTTATTAGTTCAAGATTGTCGTAGGAATAGTTTTGTTTGTGATGCTTGTGAGCTTGCTAAATATAAACGTACTTGTTATCCTTCAATTAATAAAAGAAGTACTTTTCCTTTTTTGCTTATTCATATCGATGTGTGGGGCCCTTCCCCTGTGGTTTCTACCTCTGGTTACCAGTGGTTTGTCACGTTTATTGATTGTTATTCTCATGTGACTTAGATTTATTTACTTCTTACTAAAAATGAGGTTTTCTTATGCTTCAAAGGTTTTTATAAAATGGTCTCCAATCTCTTCAATGTTACTGTCAAAATTCTTAGGAGTGATAATGGGATTGAATATGTTGATGAGGCTTTTAGGGCCTACCTCGAGGAGCATGGCATTCTTTATCAGACTAGTTGTGTTGGCACTCCTGAACAGAATAGAGTTGTTGAATGCAAGAATGGCCATCTTCTTGAGGTTGCTTGCTCTCTTGTTTGCCATGAACGTTCCTGAGTCTTTTTGGGTGCATGTTGTTCTTACCGTGGCTTACCTTGTTAACCGTATGCCCTCTAGTATCCTCTACTTCCAAATTCCTCTTAAGCTTCTTCTTGTGACTTATCCCACTTCTTCCCGTCCGTCTCGGATTTTTGGTAGTGTCTGTTTTGTTCATCTTCAACCTCGTACTCGTGGGAAGCTTGATCCTAAGGCTGTTCGGTGTCTTTCTTGGTTATTCTGCTACTCAGAAGAGCTACAACTGCTATGACCTTTACACTCATAAGTTGTATGTTAGTATAGATGTCAACTTTTGTGAATTTGAGTCCTTTTCTTTTTGGTCCTCCGCTATCTCCTTAGGGGGAGAGTGGTATCGATGAGATTGCGGATGAGACGACATCATATCAGCATGAGTTGTCTTTTTTCCTTCCTAATCAGTGGGCTGTTATTTGTGGCGAGGGGGAGCCTAGCAGTTTTGTTGATGAGGAGTCGAATATCGGTGGTCGTTTGGACAAAGTTGATCTTAAGACTTATTCACGGCGTCAGAAAGAACAGGCTTCTCTTGTGCCACCACATCAATCATCATCTCCTATGCTAGTTCCACACCCAGTTTCCACTGACTTTACAGGTAATGATCCTCAACCCATTTCTTCACCTGTTGTTGATAGTCTTGTTACTGATGATTTGAGTCTTCCTAGTGCTCTCAGAAAGGGGGTTACAGCTTGTACTCAACACCCTATTTCTAAATTCGTGTCATATGATTCGTTGTCTTCTCCATATCGTGCTTTTGTTTCGTCTCTCTCTTCTGCGTGTATTCCACATGGTTGGAAAGAAGCCATCAATGATCCTAAGTGGAAGGTAGTTATGGTAGAAGAGATGCAAGCGTTGAGAAAAAATAACACATGGGAGTTGGTGTCTCTTCCTAATGGGAAAAAACCAGTTGGATGTAAGTGGGTGTTCACCATTAAGCATAATGCAGATGAGACGATTGAACAGGTACAAATCAAGACTAGTGGCCAAGGGATTTACCCAGACATATGGAATAGATTATCAAGAAACTTTTTCCCCAGTAGCAAAGATGAATTCCATTCAAGCTATTCTGTTGTGTGCTGCTAATTTGGGATGGCCTCTTCAGCAACTAGATGTGAAGAATGTTTTTCTTTATGGGGATTTGGAGGAGGAGGTATATATGGATGTACCTTCGGGATTCTCATCTCAGTCTACAGTTGGAAAAGTTTGTAGATTCAAGAAGGCTTTGTACATAGACATGAAATAAATTGATTGTATTCTACATGGAATTGATCTTATTGGTGGATCTTCCAAGTATGCACTTTGTATGTTTGTTTTCTTCTTATAAATGATAAGTTGTTTACTTGGAGGAAATCAACAATGATAATTTAATCCTTCTTATGCCCTTTTGAAGAAAATGCATCATGTGGTCGAACTACATATGTTCACTGTAAAGCTGGTCGGGGACGCAGCACCACCATTGTTTTATGTTATCTGGTGAACTTCAATGTTCAAAAAGTTGTAAAATCAACTAACAATTGAAATTGACTTTTCTAATAATTTGTTTGGGTTGTATAGTTACAACACAAGCAGATGATGCCTGATGCTGCATACAGTTATGTGAAATCAATTCGGCCAAGGGTGCTTTTAGCCTCTTCCCAGTGGCAGGTATGGAGGGTTTATATACCTTTTTTGGGGATTATTTAAGTGCGTGAAATGGAGCAATTCACGTTTCATGAATGTGTGTGGTCTCGTTTGTTCAATTCTTATAGTGGACGTCAAAACATTGTAGATTTGAAATTGATTGGTTTGGATAATTGGAACCATCTATCAAGTGGCTTCTGAATTTTTGTGATGGTACATTACATTTTTTTGGTAGTTTGAATCACTCTATTTTTACAAATAATTGCAGGCTGTACAGGAATTCTACCATCACAAGGTGAAGATGGCCTATTATCCAAGCGACATGGCCAATCTAATATTGACAACTCCAAAGTTTTTAGCTGAAAGAGATCTCAAGGCTTTTGATGACAGCTCTGTGGTTTTGATAACCGAAGCGGATCTAGATGGATATGATCCAAGCCACGAGTTTAGTGCTGTGGGAAGCAAGATATGGACAGATTTGAGTTTGGTCTGCAGGATTCAAGTCACTGGTCATGCGGCTTTGGCAAAGCTCTCTTGCTTCTGGCTTCGCTGCCACACCCAGCAGAAGGTTTCAAGTGAGAGTAGCTGTAGAATTACAGCAGATCAACTGCGAGTTCTTAGCGTAGACATCCATGTCTTTTGAACTACTTATGATTTGCATATGAGATATTTCACCAAAAATGATGGCAAATGCCTTCAAAAGTAGCATTTGAAACCCTTTCCTTTTTCGGTGTTATGTTTACTTTGTATATAGAGAAATTGCTGACAGTGTACATAAATCAATGCTTTTACATAAAATGACGACAAATGATCCTTCAATAGCATCATTGCAACCCTTTTCTTTTCTGGAGTGTTGCGTTTATTGCGAGAATTGCAGTGGTACATAAATCAATGTTCAGATGCCAATGTTCGAGCATTATGATAGATTGGTCTTTACACAAATCTCAGTATTGGCAGTATGTAGACTTAGTGAGGCCAAGCATACGGTTACCGTACAACTCGTGGTGATGACTCATCATTTGCAAACCCAAGTAGTTCATCAAAGAAGCTTGTCACTGATGCTGGCCAACTATAAGATGATAATCCATCAAGCATCATTTGGGCTGATGCATCGCCTTCTGTGTGATTGACAATTTGCATTTCAGTTCGACTTTGTGAGACCCCGTGATGAACTCCGCGCACCCTAGAGTAAGTATGCCTTCCGGTGCTGTCCTTTACTGAAGCTTCATCTTCCAAGTAAGGGACAATGTATTTTTGTGCATCACTCTTTGATATTCCAAGGTGCTTTCCAGGCACACTGATATACTGAACCTTCCCAGCATCATCCAAGGTTTTCAAACCAATCCAGTCCTCAATGTAAAGCTGAGTCTGCATACACCAAAAAATAAACAAAATAGAATTTGTTGGTAGTCTAGGGTTTGGTAGTGTCCACCATAAGTCGCATCAACTGCTCTAATGTAACCCAAACACTGATTGTGAAATGAACTTTATAAGAATCTTTCACTGGGACTCATTTTACCCAAGGCTAATATGGCATGCTGTCTAAATTTCATGGTCCTTGACAAGAGATGTAATATTCCCTAGATAGCGAAAGAAATTAATCACCCAATGAGCGGTGTGGAAACACTACCTACTAACATCGGTATTATTTATGATACGCAATTTTTTATTAATTTTTTTTCCCTGAGAAGTAGAGGTAATACCTGTTGTGGAGGCAAAACTGGATCGAAGGCCCCATCTGGATAATATCCAAACCAGGAGGTCTCCTTGGGTATCAAAACAGTATCATGTTGGAACTGTTGAATGTAGAGGTCAGATGGAGAACTAATAAGAGAATGGTTCAACAAGCAAATTATTCAAGTTGTTGCAAACAAGAAAAATAAACCCAAAATAATAAATTAATAAATGTAAAAATCAAGGCTGAGATTTCAAAAGGGATAAATTTTTTTTGTGTAAACTCACCATGATAAGCACCAGGTTCTGTAAGCCACTGAACCGTTCCTTGTAAGTGGAGTTTCTTTTATCAGGGAGTTCATTGTTTAGCTTCGGGAGAAATCTACAACTCTCTAAATAGGCAGGAATATTCTAGAAAATAGAATTTGATTAAGACCTTAAGCAATTGCAAAGAAAGTAATTTCATAAGTTGTATATATTAAAAAAGTATTACCACCTAAAAACTGAAATGTAACATCAAGATTAAAAAAATAAACCTTGAACCAAAATTCTATTTTTATATGCTTAATCCCAACAACACAAATGAAAATCTCATAAACCAGTTGGGAAACAGCAGCATGGATTTCTACTTGTTTATATAATTTAAGGACATAGCAAGATTTAATGTGGATAGAATAGTTTCACAGTAGTATCTCCAAGCTAAGATGAATTATAATATTCCAAAAAGGCAAGACACCGATCAAGCTAAAGTATTGCGACATCTACGGAACACAACATATTCCAAAAAATGCCATTTTTTTCCTTCCCATTTTTGGTAATGTAATTGTTAACAAATTAGCAAGTTGGGTAATATCATAGCCACAACCCCAAGGGGTTTGGCTTAGTGGGAGGATAGGCAACCAAAGGACTTACTACCAAAGAGGTCGTAGAGTCGAATCCCACAAAAAACAAACATCTCAAGCCTTTGGTCCACTGGAGGTTTGCCCGATCATTAACTTCAGGGCCAAGAGATTAGTAGAGATGCGCGTAAACTGGGCCGGACATCCAGTGATTAAAAAAAAAAATTTCTTAGGCACAAAATTTCCTTCAACTGAATCTAAATGTTAAAATGTTGCTTAAATTTGCTAAAAATAAGGGAAGCTAATACTGAAAAAGTAAAAGGGAAAAAAAGCTAGAATTGTCACATTGAAGATTACTTGAACTTGCTCTAACCAGACCATCTATACAAATAAAATCATATAATTATATAACTGAGCTAGAAAATTATGCCAATGGATTGACAGCATGTAACTTGCAAGAGCATGCAAAATGGGAATTAAGGAATAAAAGACTGATACATGAATCAAAGGGTTAAGTGGATTATTGCAAAATTATTAAAAGTTTTAGAAGTCAGAAAACGGAAGATGGATCGTGGCAGACTATCAAGCATAAGTATTTAAAAAAAGGCATTGTGTGATGTTATTGTAATGTTATAAACAGATATTAAGGACAAAAAAAGGTAGACGTCTTTACAAAAAATTAAAATCATTCCATTAAAAAGCCGATTCTGAAATATGGATGGATAATTCATTTCAAAGCAAATGGGATAATGAAAGACCTAGACATCGGTAGGCCTTCCAAACAGGGATATATATATATGCACATACAGTATATAGATTACTCACATTTGGTAGTTTAAGATAACCACTAGGGGCTAAGTGCTCCTGCATTCAGAAATTAAAACAGTGTGTCAAGTCTCACAAAAAAAAAAAAAAAGGCCAAACTTGATGCACGAGCGTGAGGCTCTTGCCACTGCGAGGTTCGGGGAGGGTAAGATGTACGCAATCAAGTCTCATTCGAGACCAAAAATGATTATTAAAATTAGGGTAAACTACACTAACCACCCTTGAGGTTTGGAAAAAATAGAGTAAGTCTCACAGTTTTGACATAATTACGCTGACCACCCTTTCAGTAAGGTTAAACAGACCAAAACTAATGCAAAAGGTGCGAAAACACAAATAACGTAAAATATATATTTTCATGTAAAACAGATAATAACATCGGTTTTCATCCATATAACTAACAAATTATTGATGAAAAATGGCTAAATGTCATATGAATGAAAATTTCAAGGAAACTCAATGTAATTATGTTAAAATTGTGAGTCTTACTATATTTTTTCCAAACATCAAGGAGGTCAGTGTAATTTACCCTTAAAATTAATAGCATATGGTACTCTAGCACCTCACTAGGAGGTCAAGGGTCAACTCTTGTCACAGGCAAGACTCCCCCTCCTTAGGCTACAACCTCCAATGTACCAAAATTAAATAAATAAATACAGTTAAAAGAGAGATTTATACTTGGATTAAGTCACTGTAGACCTCTGATTTGATTAGTTTGTCTGCTAAGATGCAAAAGATGCCAGACTGCAAAAGCATAAAATAATCATTTGACATCAACAACAGATTGGAAATTATTTTATATAATAATATAATACATGCTTGTGGAAAACCTAAGTGAACCCACTTGATAGACCTAGCCTAAAGCTGAGCTGCTTGCTCAGGCAACTGATCCAAGTGCAAGAGTTGCTCATCATCCTTTCAATCAACATACTTCATTTAGAGTGAAAAGTCAAAGCAGTTCAATAAATTATAAGCTTAACATGCCAATAGACAAAAGATCAAACACACATTGGACAGATGCAGTGACAAATAAGAGGAAGAATGAAGTGCATGTTTAATTACTTGAATATCAGACTTAATTGGCTAAAAAGTCCACAAAACTTTACTTGCGGGAAAAAAAAAAATCAACAAAAGAAAGTGATAAATTTTTTGTACCATGGACAATAGAAAGGGTTGAGAAGGGCTTGAAACAGATAAAAGTAAGGAATCATTCGTTGCTCTTGAGTTTGAACCTAGAAGTTTTGGAACTGGACTACAGCATTATTTTCCAGGTAATGATGCCGTACTTGTCCAGGTTGTATTTGGTCATCCAGACCTTTGGAATCCAATTTGTTTACAGACTAAGTATTGTGAATAGAATTTTGAATTTTTGATTATATTTAGACTCTGAACAACAGATATTTAAAGAATGACATAAGGTGTGTAGTTTTGCATTCCCCCCCCCCCCCCAAAAAAAAAAAATTTGGTTAAAACATGAACGGAAAAATAACCTACTTTCAGAACTTCATCAGATGCATTTCTTTTTGATAAATAAACATCAGATGGTGCCACCAGTGGCCCTAAATGTACATCAAACTCTCTTTCTCTCTTAGCAAAAATTAAAGATAATCACAAGCATGCCATTCTCTAATTGCACATGCACTAAAATCTGACAACTTGCACATAAAATATCCCCACCCCACCCCGCACGCGCGTGCGCGCGCACACACACACACACTTACTCTGCTCCATCCCTCTATCCACCTCATATCCCAATGGATTTAAATGCTTTGCACAAGAGGAAAAAACTAGGAAGAGATTATACGAGCACTTACGCCACAAAGAGGAACGGAAGCAGTACCAGCATGAGGTCCGGCCAATGAGATAAAGTTTTTTACCTGATCCACAAAAGGGAGAAAATTGTAATAAGCAAATACTCACAGGTGCAGGAAATCAAGATATGCTCAAATATTAATAAGCGAAGAAAGGAGCAAATGCATTGAAATGAAAACGAACTAATTTATGGAAACACATTGTCTCTTGAAAGCAGAGGATGCATATTTGCTAGAGCAAAATATCAGTAATCACATTACCAAACAAAAAGAAACTAAGCCTTGTGTCCCAATCAGTAATCTTATTAGTGATGAATGTTGAAAGATGAGTGATATATTGATTTGTCGCTAAACATGTTTTCATGTTTCGTTTTCATTTGCTTTCAAAACATGTCCTTTTGATTTCTTTATTAAGTCATGATTTGGTCCATTTTTCATAGACCTTAACAAGCCGCTCACATGAAAATAAGAGTGATAAAAAAAGGGGAGATAAAGTAATCAACTTGTTTTTTAAAAAGGATCGTGCTAAAAACAGCATATTGAGCTGTCAATAAGGTGAGAATAATGCCAAAATAGTTAAACTCCCCATGCACTTTTCACACTTTTACATCTTTTCACACATTTTTATCCACTTTACATGTACATCAAGACTAATGACCACCCATAGAGCGGTCATTAGCACTTTCCTTAAAAAAAGCTTCTACAAATATCCAAAACTTAATTTAGTCAAACAATATAATATCCATTTAAAGTAACCAGCATGGTGTCATTTAAAAACTTACTCAAATTCATCATACCACTTAAACCATATTTCATGTATGTACATAACAAATCAAACAGTACAAAACAACGATATATATATATATATATTCAATAACTGAAGTTGCATTATGGAAACCATTTTGAAAGTGGTATTGATGAATAAGAAACACGTAAAATAGCAAGATTCTTATCAAGTTGGTCCTTACAGGGGGTGCACCCTCACAAAACTCTAACAAACCTCGACCTATTAAGTTACCCTGTCCACCCAAAAAAAAAAGCTTTAGAACGTGCACATTAGCAAATCATGAGTATATTGGAATATTAATTCACTAATTAGTAAGAAAAAATTTGAAAGAAAATGAGAAATTCAGATAATAGGAATTTTAGGTTTAGCTGGACAAGATCAGAGAACCATAATGTGATAAATAGCATCATTGGATTTGAAAGAATTAACTTTTCCATGTGTTTGTTTCATTACTTTAAGCCACCAAACTAGATAGTGATATAAGCTCTTAACAGTTTCTGGGTTTAAATTATACAACCATAATAGAGGTTGGCAAATGCTACAATTTTATTGTCCTTTCATCCTTTAGTCTTTATATATGTAGTTAATAAAATGCAATTTTCCTGAAGGTAAGTATGTTAAGTCACTAAAGCCATTCTTCTGATTAATAAAGAAATAACATTTGAATGATGCATATTATATTACTAATGCACTGTAAAAAGTAGAAGATATCCGATCCTCATCATCATTAATCACCTGGGAGAGACCAACTACGTTGAAACCCTGCTTGAGTTCTTTCATTTTTTTCACCTGTGGATTAAATTATTATGTTGTCAATAGGAAAATAAACTGTAAAAACGAGGTCAATGAAGAAACCAGAAGTACCCAGCGAATTTGTCACCTTGTCACAAACAATTTCAACCTGGAAAAATTAAGCACAGTTCAAATTATAACTGGACTATGAATGACAAGGCTCCTAATTGGACAAGCAAAATAATAACTATTATGCATTGTTCTACCTGTTCCTCTAGGGCCATAAACCAGGAGTCCCATGAGCCATTTCCAATTTCTCTACAGCAAGGAGGACCAAAAGCGCAACATCATTACAGAAAACTAAAATGTGCCATGCATATATGTATAAAGTTATTTCATTAGTATTCACCTTTCCAGACACACTGTTCTGAAGCGGACAACACAAGAATCAAGGACAATGCTGATAACCAATGAAAATTCCTATAGTCCCTATCACAATATTTATATTGCATTTTTTGGGAAATCTTTTCCCCAAGAAAATTACTCAGTACTCTAATTCAGTGATAACTTCCACTAGAACTAAAATCCACTGCAGTAGAAATAAAACCATCACAGAGAACCCACAACCGTGATCACTTCTAAATAAACTTTCCAAAATACCTTTAAATAAATAAATAAACAAGGAAAACAAATTAGCATGCCTTTTCAATGAAGTATAACAGATTTATATGCATCCTGATCTGAATAACCTATTAATTTTAGTCACATCACTTTTATGTTGGATAAATATAAATCCATCATTTGTGTCGTGAGTACGGACAACACCAACTTCATGTCACCTGCTTTTCCTTCATAACAACTCGTTCATGTCTAGCATCTGGACTTTTGGATCATACATTAATTCTATAAAAATAGTTCTTATCCCTAAGGATCTAGTTCATCCTTCTGCTAAATTGAAAAACATCATACAAAGATTTCCTTTTTAATTTGTATTTTTTGTCTTTGGAACTTTCTATAAATCACTTAGAATTATAACCGTTTTAAATCATAAATATTCATGCTCGTGCATAATCTACTTGACTGCATGATAATAAAGCATGAACAAAAATAACTATATTAAATTAATTATTCAAAAGATGCAAAGTGCATTGTCAAACAAAATTAACCAATGTGCCTACTATTGACTCTTAAATCACATTTCACATACATTAGCAGTAGTTCCATATTAGCCTAAAGTTGACTTTTAAAAAAACCAATCACATATTCCCACTGTATTGCTTTGGCAAAATTTATACTGAGCTTCAATGTGGTGATTCCAGCAAAATTTCTTCCAAATTTCCTGCACTATTTCCTATGACATGCCCTATATTAAGCAGAAAATAATATATCATTCCCAACCTCTTGACTGATGTAAGGAAGTAACAGTAAAGATATCACCTTTTTCTTTGCAGTAAATGGCAAGGTTGTAGCTTCTTTGACTAAAGAACAACTAGGCCACAATATAACGGTAACAAATAATAAGAAGATTTCGACTGGAGCAAACAAAAAAGATGTTGAATAAAGATGTGAGAAGACTCTTAACAGAATACCATGCCAAAAAAGCATCAGCTCCTAGATTACGGTCACGCTTGTATCATTTTTTTTTTGTTGATATTATTTTTTGTTGAGATATTCTAACCAATTCTAATAAAACTAACTTAACATAAGCACAAATCAAGGACAACTGTAATCGAAACAGGCTTAAATTTCACAAATTAGCTGCTATATGCAACTTGATCAAGATCAATATTCAATCACAAGCAGGATTATACATCAGGGCACCCCAAACAAGAAAATCATTTGAAGAAAAATAGATAATCATACATGCAATATCCTTCAGAGTTTGACCAGTTACTCAGTTGCTGAGTGAGCTGTTTAACTCCTCGGTTGGAGCATTGATCTCCAATTCCTGCCACAATAAACACATTAATTGAAAGAATAATATAAGAACAATGTAATGAAATGAACAAGATTAACTTCTTTTAACAAAAAGAGTCAAAACATGAAGAGAAATTTACCAAAAAAAATTTCAAAAAATTGCAAAGATGGACCTACAATAGCATTTTAATTGTGGACATTCCTCAATCAAAGACTTGATAACAACCCAATGCTAAATTGTTCTGGTTTGTTTTCTAAATGATGCGCCTCAAGATGAATGTATGATGTCTCTGCATTAAGACTTGGTAACAACCCAATGCTAAATTGTGATATCGAGTTAACTTAATTGGGCTAATAATTATTTATGAAATCTTGAACTGCCCAAGGTCACTAAATTCGTAACTGTGGATTAGTTGTCTGCATGGTTGATTTGTCAATCATTAGAGAAAAAAAAAAAAACGGTGTTTGGGAGGGGAAAGATTGGGGGTGCCTTACTACTTTATTAAGACAATGAGTTACGGTATTTGATTTCCACATCAGAGTAGTGTTTATTCTTTTATCAAAAATGTTAATTTGGTTATATAGTATTTGTTAACATGTGATATGTTCCTTTCATTAACTCTCAGGATGTCAACTGGGTACAATAGAGCCAATTGGTATGATACAAAGTCATTCTAGTTTTCAGGCCATGAACTGAAGTTAGTTAAGATGTTATTGATGTAGTAGATGGGTGGTGTGTAGCAGCAGGGTGGGTGAAGTATGTGGTGCTGAAAAATCTTGTTCACCCATATACATTGTGGAGGTGTCTTTGTTTGGACAGATTGAATAAGAAAGAATTGCAATGCAATGAACTGTTAGCCCGGTTTGCCCTAAGATAAATAATCTCTTTGTAAATGATATGTATTTGACTATTAATTTGATTTTCATTTTCGTAATCAAAGGATAGACTAGTAAATCTATTGGACATCGAGTCCAATCTCATGTCTCAATCCCACGAAACAAACACCCTGTGTGTTCAGTTATGGGAGCCCATCAAAAAATTACTTGAAAATCTAATCTTTATGTATATTTTGTGTCCGTCTATGTGTTAACAGAACAAAAAATAAACTATTTCTTTCATTAAAATTTCCCCAAAAATCGCTTCATCCCATGCATTAGAGGTTTTTTTTTTTTTTTTTTTTTTTTTTTTTTTTTTTTTTTTTTTTGAAAAAACGGAAAGAATAAAGTTAACATCAAAAAGTGCCAATAAACATATATTACTTAAGATAGACGCATCAGCTCATCATCAAATCAAATTAATTCAAATACAAATTGACACCATGTGACATTTTCATTACCAAAAATGCCCTTCTGACCTATTTAAAACACAAAATATAATGAGATGAATGAGATTCAAAATTAAACTATAACATATATATTTTAAAACGAAAATTAAATTTTAACAGCATAAAAACATGAATTGAAATTAGATATATGATAAACATGATTGATAAAGAGATTTACCATGGATTAAGATGAAGGGAACGCTAGATGAAATTGGAAGCAAGGCAAAGGCGGTGGCGACGATGAGTATGCATATGATTGATGATGAATAATTAGTATAACCAGCCATTTTGATGTTGCTCAAATTAGGGCTTTTGAGTCCTCACGATCACTGAGCTCTCTCCCTCTCTATCTCTGTCTCTGCGACACGCATCCCGCATTTATGAGTCTCGTGACACACGCTGTGAGGATGGTGGTTGGTTGTTAATTGTTGTTTTGGACACTTCGACAGTGACGACTTTGATTTTTATTCACCTACTCAACCGATTACAATTTAGATACTATCAATTTGTTTTATTTTATTTTATTTTAATCATTTTACAGGCTATGGTTTTGTCCACATGGATAATATCCATATAGACTCTGTTCACGTGCGTATTGTACGCTATTGGCTGGGACTGGGAGCAACCGTCAATATTCACAATCTTCAGCCAAAACATATGTTTGGTTTAGTTTTGAAAAAAAGATTTTGGAGAAAATTTTTAAAAATTTTATTTGGTCTGTAATTTTTTTAAAAAAAAATTTAAAATTACTTTTTTTTTTTCTGCGTATCAATTATTTATCTTTTCTCTCTCTTCTCTTTTTTCAATAATTTTTTCTCTTACATACATCTACTTAATTACAACAAAATATCAAATCATCACGAACTCTTAAACTCTAAAACTATTTTTAAAATATATAACTAAACAAACTATATAAATTTCTAAACTCTCTCTCCCAGAATGTTTTTTTAAAACTTATCTCCCTAAATCAAACCAAACAAGGCCTAAAATCCATGTCCCTATCATTAACCAATGAATAATGTTGGAGATTTTAAAAAATTTATCATATTTTTTTATCAAATATCTTAATAAAATTTATATAAAATTCACATGGTGTGGATCTCACACATATTTAGTAAAAAAAATCGATAAAACTTTTAGAATCTTTAACATTTTTCTAAACAAATTATAAAATTTTACATTTTTTTATTATAATTTTTTATTGCAATAATTTTACTGTAAATAATAATAATAATACTAATAGTTACAATTATTTATGTTTGTGTTATAAATACGGTAGAGTAATTTTTTCTTATAATAAAAAAAAATTATATTTTTATAATGAGATAAGTTGTATCATTTTGTGATTCACGATATAAACTTTTATTGTTTAATAATGAAAGGGTAGTTGTGCATATGCCTTTTATTGAAATCATTAATAAAATCTAATTATTACTATTAATAATCTCTTTTCTGTTTTGTCTCATAGCAGGTAAGGAAAAGTTTAGGAGAATTGTAAACCAATGTGTAAACACAAACTCCACAGGGCAGTTGAAGCCGTTATGTATTTTTTTGGTTATTATTCTTAATTTCTTTTTTCTTCTCCGCCCAAAAATATATGCGTGTATATATATATATCTATATAATAAGGTACAAAGCTTTTTGAAAAATATATCAAAATGTATGTGAGATATATTTTGATCCAATGGCTAAGATCAATCCCAAATATATATCAATGGTTGAGAAAGCTCTGTTTTTCAAACCAGATGGGACATTTATCTTAGGTGGAAATGAGATTGAAAGGCTGAGATTAAGTTAAAGGTTGTATCCTTCTACCTTTACCGTTGGATATATACTTCAACTTTGAAACCCATTTCAAACACATTTCAGCCTTTTCGTCGTCTCTCTCTTCAAACCCATTTCAGTGTTTCTCTTCACCGTTGGATATACCCTTCAATTTTGAAACCCATTTCAAACACATTTCAGCCATTTCACCATCTCTCTCTTCAAACCCATTTCATTGTTTCTCTCTCTTCAAACCCATTTCACTGTTTCTCTCTTCAAACCCATCTCTCTCTCTCTCTCTCCCTCTACAGTGGAAAGCCACAGACAAAGCATCGATCGAACGAATTGGGGCAACGATTACACTGAAGATCTACTCGAATCAGGTCCATTTCTCTGTCTAATGCTCAATATAACACTTCGGAATTGCTTGAGCAGTTGCCAGCATTACAGCAACCTGTTTTAATCAGGTCCATTTCTATTCACTCAGTTTGTTATCCTTTCTATTGAGTTGATTTTTGGATTCAATGATTTTGTCAAGGATCATTTACTCCACTTAGTAACCTAATAGATGCCAAGTGGGTAGATCAAGCACTACTAGGAGCACATCCTCCTTATTGAGGGAAGATTTAATTGAGGGTATAATAGTTTGATAAAATGTTTAAATAATAAATTTTGTCCTTTATATAAGACTTTATAATTATGAGGGGGTTTTAAAAGTATAATTTTTTTCTTAGTCATTTTAACAATAAAAGGAAGATAAGGGGGGTTTATAGCCAAATTTCCCAAATTATTACTATTAATAATCTCTTTTCTGTTTTGTCTCATAGCCATGTAAGGAAAAGTTTGGTTTAATGAGTAAAACACAGACTCCACAGGGTAGTTGATTTGATGTCGTTTTGTATTTTTTGGCTATTAATCTTAATTTCTTCTTTGGAGGATTTTTTTTAAGGTCTTTATTATTAAGATTTTATAATATAAAGGATATTCAATATTTTAATAATGTTTAAGATCCCTCAAATTGATATAGAGAAAATTCGACTTCACAGGGAAAATTGGTCCAGAGAAATTTTTGTGAGGGCCGAATAACTTTTATTACACACGGGGGCCGAATAGATTGAAGAGAGAAACCAAGTGAATTACCCGACTCCATCCCGGAGAGATAAAGGACGAATAACCAGATCAGCCGAATAATCAGCTGTAGACCAGGCTGAGTACGAACAATTAGCCGAATGAGGGATTATTCATTGGAAGAAAAGTGGGCCCAATCGTCAACATCATAAATAAGGAGAGTGTCAGCTAACGCGAGGCATGTAAGAAAAAGTCTAAAAACTTGAGATATAAGAAACCAAGAGAGTATACACTGACTGGTCCGTCGGAGTGCTAATTCCAGCATCCTCGACCGGAGTGTTCATTCCTTTTCAGGTGACTAGCTGAGGATCACGAGCGCCCACCAGGATCCGAAGAGTATTTTCGAACCATTTCCCCACAATTGGTGCCGTCTGTGGGAATACTCAAGCACATCCATGGCGGGCGTGACGGAAGATCCTCCGGTAGTCGCTGGCTACCTTACGCCACAAGATGAAACCACTCCAAGCAACATGCTTGGGCCAGAGAATATTACCGCAAGAAGGGTCTTGAACTTCGATTCACCATCGACATCAGCACATGAGACAATGCAAGTGATTATGGGGCAAGTGAAGCAAAATGAATAGAGATTGGAAAACATGATGGCTGAGAAAGAGCGCCTTTGACAAGATTTGGCCTTGGAGGTGGCAAAATCCCAACAAACCGCGTGCCAAAACTCGGGACGACCTCTGAGAAATGATGGTCGACAATCTCGAATTCGGAGACATGATAGTGGCAGTGGCTCTGACTCATCATCCCCAGAATCTACGAAGAAGGGACGAGTCGACATCTCCAGTTCCTCTAAGGGAAGTCCGCATGCACGGAAAAAGCGAAGAAGAAATGATTTAGATGAAGAGGATCAACATGACCCATTTGTACAATGGATTGCAAGGGCAGTGTCACCCAAAAAGTTCAAAGCACCATCATTCACCTTGTATGATGGAAAATCAGACCCCACCAATCACATTTGCCATTACAAGCAAGCCATGATGCTTCATGCAGATGACGAGGCCCTCATGCGTCGAATATTTTCGAGGGCCCCGTTTGTTTTCAGAGATAGAATGGAGGGGATTGTTAGTGAGGAGATTGATAGTGAGGGGATTAATAGTGAGAAATTGTTAAATTATTTTTATATAAAATAATAAAACAAATATAAAAATTAAACATTAATATTTTTTAAAAAATTCCCAATATATAAAAAAAATAATAAAAAAATTTATAATCCCCTTACTATTTTTCTAATACCATCTCTACCTCCTCACTATGAATCCCCCTTCTAAGGGCATGTTTGATTGAGTGGATTAGAGCATGAGATTGAGATTATTAATCCGTGAGCCTAATTATTCTATGTTTGTTTTAACATTTTGGTTTAGGATTATTAATCCAATATGTGGGGGCCGAATACATGGGAAAAATCAGATGGTGCGTACCATTGGAAGACTGATATTAATCGGCTATATCCTACGAGAGTGGGGAGCCAAATATAATATATGTGCCGAATAAGTGTAAGTCCTTAGTGCCGAATAGATGAAACGACAATGATTAAAAAGTAGGCCCTGGTCCCGAGGATAAAAAAAACAGGTATAAATATAGGAACAACGGTTATAGAAAGGTATGTAAAAATCACTTGACAAAACTTAGTAAAGAAGCTACCCTGAGTATGTGAACTAACTTGTCCGTCGGAGTGCTAATTCTGACACCCCCGACCGGAGTGTTTGTATCTTTTCAGGTGACTAGCTGAGGATCACCAGCGTCTCCTAGGATCCAAAGACTATTTCCGAACTACTTATCCACATTTGGCGTCGTCTGTGGGAATACTCAAATACATCCATGGCAGGCGTGACTGAAGATCCTCCGGTAGCCATTGACGAGACCGCACAGGGAGATAGCCTCACTCCAGCAAATATGCTCGGAAAAGAAACCATCGCTGCAAGACGTGCCTTGAACTTCAACTCACCAACGACCTCAGCACAAGAGACAATGCAGGCGATCATCGAACAAGCAAAGCAGAATGAACAAAGGCTGGAGAACATGATCGCTGAAAATGAACGTCTCCGTCAAGATTTGGCCCTCGAAGTTGCAAAATCGAGAGAAGCCATGCGCCAAGATCCCGAACGACCTCCGAGGGTCGGTGGACAACGACCTCAACCCCGACCAACAGATACTAATAGCGACTCCAACTCATTAACCACGGAGCTCAACAAGAAGGGACGATCCGGAACTTCCAGCTCCTCCGAAAAGAGTCTACATACAAGGAACAAGTGCAGGAGGAGCAGTTCAGATGAAGAGGACCAGCACGATCCTTTTGTCCGACGGATTGCAAGGGCGACCCTGCCCAAGAAGTTCAAAGCGCCGTCATTCACTCTCTACAACGGAAAATTAGACCCCACTGATCATATCCGTCACTACAAGCAGGCCATGACATTGCATGAAGACAACGAAGCTCTCATGTGCCGAATATTCCCCAGCAACCTGGGGCCATTAGCTGTCAGGTGGTATTACAAGTTGGAGCCGGCCTTGATCAAAAGCTTCCATCAATTACAGAAATCCTTCAGGGCCAGGTTCATCACCAACAAGGTGCAGCCGAAACAAG